TCCCTTCCCATTGCGCACATTGTTCCTCTATCCGCGGACGCGTGTCATAGTAGACCTCGAACTCAAACAACAAATCATCGCATTGTGCGCAACCGGACACTTGGACCTGTGCACATCGGAGAAGGAATAGGAAGTGGCGGATGAGCACGAGGATGAGCAGCAGGAACGGCAAGATGAGGAACGACGAGGACGAGGACGAATCGCAACAGCAGAAACTGGAATGAAAGGAGTGTGGGGAGCAGGAGGCCCAGGGGAAGGCAGAACGGAAGGAAGGTGGGCGACATCGCTGACGAAGAACGCGCATCTAGTAAAGTAGCCCACGCTGGGGCGAGAGCTCCAATCTGAACGACGGGAGCAAAACCCCGATACGAAAATCATGACCACGTTGCAACGGGAACGCCATTTTGCAAGGACCGGGAACGCTCGGATTGGAGAAGCACCTAGCCGGCGCAGACCCCAAACAGTGACGTGCTGACATTCTACGTGGCGCAGTCGACGTGAAGCAATCTACGCTGTGCGATCTATGTGGTGCGACTCGCCCTCCCGCATTTGAAACTGTCAACTCCACTACTCGCGCACTCATCCCATTCACCCACCGGCAACTTGGTTTTTTCAAAACCAATGAGGTGGCGATTGTGATAAATGCTTGGCGCTGGTTGGCCGATTGCTGCGGCAGCACTAGCGTGCGCAGGTTGGTACGCAGAACGGCCAGCCAGTCTGGCGCGGCCGTCGCGGGCACGGTGGCGGTGACCGCTGGGGAATTCCCAATGCGTCCTGCATACCGCGCTGACGCTCGAGCATTTCGGTGCGAGTCAGTGACTCGGGCGGACGCTGTACCATGACGACCTCGACAGAGGCAGACACGATGATAATGATGCTGATGATGCTGATGATGACGGCGATAAGGATGATGATAACGATGCTGAAACGACGATAACGTTGACGATTGCATGGCCAATGCAGGTGCCGATGTTCATCACGCCGATGGCGGTGACGGTGCCCACGCGTCGATGATGAAAATTCGAAAAAAACCTCGACATGCGCGCGTCCGACGGATCCGAATAGCCCGCACCTGTATGAGGAGAAGGTTCGTGCCCCCACGCATGCGCGCAAGGACGTTCGGATGATCCCTGCCTGCGCGTGCGAGAAGCCCGCATGGTCGCAGACAGTTTTTGTTTACGAAAACATGCTAATACGATGGCTTACGCTCAAGAATTCGAAACAGCGCGCGCGCAAACTTCCACGAAACATTGTGCTGCATGTACGAAGTATGTGACTGGGGCACCCGATGGCAAATTGATAATGTCTGACACACCAATGCACGCACATGAATTCATGTGACGAAAATTGGAAAGGCGAACCGGGTTTGGCTGCGATGATATGTTTCAACGTAGGAACATGGGCAACGCAACGAAATCGTATATCAACTGCACATCCCCAAAGAAATTGATAGCCCGGGGGGTAGATCCGAATTCGCCTTTAAAAGGAAAACTGGTTCACACTGAATTGTCAAGTCCACCGATCGCGCAACCATCCCACCCACCCACCTGCAACTCGGCTGGTTTGCAAAACTCACGCGGCGACGATTGCGGCGACTGCTTGGCGCTGGCTGGTGCATCGCTACGGCCGCGCCAGTGCGCACAGGCTCGCGCGCAGAGCGGACAGCTAGTCTGGCACGGCCGACGAGGTGGCACTGACCGCTTGGGAATGACCAGCGCGTCCCGCATGCCGCGCTGACGCTCGAGCATTTCGGTGCGAGTCAATGACTCGGGCGGGCGCGGTACCATGACGACGTCGACAAAAGAAAATACGATGATGAGACCAGCGACATGAGACGACGATACCGCTGACGTGTGCATGCATGGCCAATGACGGCGCCGATGCTCATCACGCCGATGACGATGACGGTGACGATCACGGTGTCCACATGCCGGTGATGAAGTTTCGGCGTGCGCGCGCGGCCGACGGGCGGTGCGGCCCGCATTGTAATCCCACGAGCCCTCTGAGCGACAGGTGGTCAAATGAGGGTCTCTCTCCCGTTCCACAACCCCCATTCCCTCCCCCTCCCTGATGTTTTTGGGAAGGGGGTCGCGACGAGGTGGGGCGTCCTTTGTCGGCCCATGGGAGGGCAATTTTCTGCCACCCCTCAAGAGGACCGTGGCTCCCGAAGGGGGACGGAGATAAAATCACCCCATAGTTTGATCGATAACCTCCAAGATGGCCCCAAGAGGGTCGCCAGGGTTCCCAAGAGAGCCCCACAAGGGCCCAAAGAGCGCCCCATGAGGCCTCCAAGAGGCACCCGGAAAAGGCCCCAAACAGGCCCCCGAGCGGCCTCAAAGAACCCAAGATGAACTCCAAGACGGCTCAGATAGCCCAAGCTGGCTCAAGACGGCTCGCAAGATGATCCAAGCGGCCCCAAGACCACTCCAGGACGGCTCGAAATGGCCACGAAGCCGCCCAAGATCCCCTCGCGGTTTTACGATGTGTGCCTCTTCGTTTCTCCCCCCGTCAGCTCTCATGGGCATCGTTTCTGGATGGGCTGGTCGGGATGCTCTTTTTCGTTCGCGAGCGCGCAGGAAGGCCACGTGCCGTCAAGACACGCGGCTAACGAGCAGCGGACTAAATTCCGCACAAGAGCGCACAGGAGCGAGTTACGCTGCGGCTCAGGAGACGCGGTGGACCTGGCGGAATCACTGGTCGAGGTGCAGCACCAAAATGGCAAAAAATCATGACGTCCACGTACACGAGGACGACGATCGGGCGTGCAGGCGCTCAACGGAAGAGTTCCGGATCGCCAAGATGGGGAGCGTGCCAGCGGCGGAACCGCACGGCGGGGGAGCAGGAGAAGCGAACCGGTGGGGATACGCGAAGCGTCAACAATATTTGAAGAGGTTCGTGCCTCTCCCAACCAGCACGCGCGCAGGGGCGTTCGAATGACTATTGCATGCGCGTGCGAGAGCCCGCATGGTCGAATTTGATGAAAAGGTTGAAAAACCGATGGTCCACGGAGGACGCCAGAGCGCGCGCAGACCTGTTGTCTGAACGATCACGGTGCTAAACACGTTGTTCTTTCATACGTTTCCGGTGACCCCGATCTTGACTTCGTGCGAAACGCTGAGTTGTTGACCGATTCCGGCATGCGCGCGCGAAGCGGCGCGCGTGTGGGTTTCGCTTCGTGTTTTGTAGAAAAATGGTTTCCTTGATAAAGGAATGTCAGGGTTGCATCCAGGTGGGTCGAACCTGGTTTGACTGTGATGGTATGATTCCGTGTGGAAAATGAACGATGGGGCCAACTTATATGAACATTGCGCACCCCTAGGGGACGGATAACCCCGGGGGGGGGAGCGGCCATTTTTCTCTGAGAAAAAACATTCTATGTGGTGCACAATCTATGTGTTTCAAAATATATGTTATCTATATATACGTTGTGCAAGTATGCGGGCGGCGACGAGGCGGCGACGGGACGACGACGGCGACAACATAGCCGCCATACCGACACACCGGCCCAGACGACGGGCGGCGACGGGGCGGCGACGGCGACAACGTAGCCGCCAGACGGCCACACCGGGCCAGACGACGGGCGGCGTGGAAGCGGCGACGGGGCGGCGACGGCGACAACATAGCCGCCAGACCGCCACGACAGCCCATACGACGGGGCGGCGACGGCGACAACATAGCCGCCAGACCGTCACACCAGCCCAGTTCCTTCGAATAAAGTCAGAACCCCGAAGTGCAAGCACTGATTGAGGAAAAACGTTTCATTGGGAGTCGTGTCTGAATCCCACCAGCCCTTTGGGCGTGAGTGGTTTAGAGAGCTCTCTCTGTCCTCAACCCCCCAACCCCCCTGCTTCCCCTTCGGGGAGGGGTTTATCCCTCCCCCTACCCCCTCCCCCTGGACCTGGAGAGGGCGGGCCGAGCGTTGTCAGACCGGTCTTTTTCGACTCCTGGGAGGGCTAAAAAACGACACCCCTCACGAGGATTCTGCCCCCGACGGGGGGACGCACATAAAACCCTCTCCTCTTCTGTGAAGCCAAAATCATTATTTTACTACGGTTTCGGCCCCATTTTGGCCTTCTGAGGGGGCCGCGCTCCTCTTCCTTGTTCTCAAAATCATTGATTTTACGACGGTTTTGGGCTCATTTTGTCCTTCTCAGGGGGTAGTGCTCATTTGCGCTTCTGCGGAGGTCGCAAGAGGCCCCGAAGAGGCTCCAAGATGCCCCCAGGAGGCTCCCAAGAGGCCTCCAAGAGGCCCCCAAGAGGCCCCCAAGAGGCCCCCAGAGGCTCCCAACAGGCCCCCAAGAGGCCCCCAAGAGGCCCAAGAGCTCCCAAGAGGTTTCCAAGGGGCCCCCAAGAGGCCCCCAAGAGGCCCCCAAGAGGCCCCCAAGAGGCCCCACGAGGAGCCCGAACGACTCACACCAGGACGAGGGGCCCAAACGACTCACACCACGAAGAGCCCGAACGACTCACACCACAAGGAGGAGCCCGAACGACTCACACCAGGACGAGGCGCCCGACCCATTCACACCACGAGGAGCGCGAACGACTCACACCACGACGCGGGCCCCGAACGACTCACACCACGAGGAGCCCGAACGAGTCACACCAGGAGGAGGGGCCCGAACGACTCACACCAGGATGAGGGGCCCGAACAACTCACACCACGAGAAGCCCGAACGACTCACACCAGGACGAAGAGCCCGAACGACTCACACCACGAAGAGCCCGAACGACTCACACCAGGAAGAAGGGCCCGAACGACTCACACCAGGACGAGAAACCCCAAACGACTCAAATCACGAGGAGCGCTTTCTCTCCCTCCTCCTCCGCCTCGTCCTTCTCCCGCTCCCCCCACAAGGAGGATTCACAAGGAGGCGGGAGGAAGGAGGGACAGGGGAGATATACGGAGCCCAGCGGACACACGCCTGAAAAACACAACTGTCGACATGCTTCGCGAGAGCTGCTGCTGTGAGATGGGCTGGTGGGGATACGCGAAGCGTAAAGAATATGTGTGATGCTACTTATTCTCGCACGGGATCCAATCTTCGTCACAAGACGGTGAGCGCTGCTATAGCTCATGCTCCACGGAGGGAGCCATGGCGGGCATCCTGCTCAATCAAGGAGTAGCTTGCCCCGCTCAGCACAGCCTTCGCGTCCGTCAACGACTTGATCTCGCCATTGCGCGCCTCTTTGCGTGTCTCAAAAAATTGCACGAGCCAGTCGCACTCAGCATGCATAGCCGCGATATACTTCATGGTGGCCTGGAGTTCCTTGAAGGTCGCGAGCTTGGTCCGCTTGAACTCGGTGAGGTCCATCTCGAGGTCCGCCTTCAATTTCTCCTTATCTGCCAGTGTCTTGGAATCCTCGGCGCGCTTCTTCGCAGACTCGGCCATCATGCTTTCGTAGTCCTTCTGCGACTCCTTCTCGTCAGTCTCGGCCTCGGTCATCTCAGTGTCAAGGTCTTTGATGAGTAAGTCAATCATTGCTATCACGCCCGTAGACTCTCCGCCCTTTTTCGCGTACGCGTCCCAAGTCTCCGGCGGCGGTGCAGGTGCGACGCCCACAGCCTGGCGGTGCGCGGATACCTGCGCGAAGACGGTGACACCAGTGTTGGCAATGCCGCCAGGCTGCGTGGTCGTCACGATGTCGTCCGGGTTGCCCATGCTGACAACGATCCTGCTCTCGGCCGACAACTCCGTCTTGGCTGGAGGCGTGTAGAGGGATGGATTGTAGAACTGATTGAGGCGGTTTTTGGCTATCTCCAACAGCTCCTTGGCAGCAGAGTCTGAGGCCATCAGCGCCTTGAACTCCTCGTTCTCGCTTTTGCGCTGGGCCGTAGCCTCTGCGACAGATGCATCAAGGTCTTTGATCGTGGCAATCAGGGTCGCAATGTCCTCCGTGGCCTGTGCGATCCCGTTCTCCGTCTTGTCGATGGAGTTGGTAGTCTTCTCCAACATAAACTCGAGAGACTTCTTCTTGTCGTCGGAGTCATCAAACTGGAGTTCGCAATACTCCTTCTTATGCTCGTCATCGAGCTGTTCTTGCTTCAGCATAGCCACCATGTCATCGATCATTGCGACAACTTTTGCGAAGGACACCTGGCGACCAGAGAGAGACAGCATGATGAGGTCCAACTTCGTGTGGCCTTGCTGGTCCGCGCGGCGAGCTGACCGCACTGCTGCCAACGCCTCTTTGCGCATGGTAGCCGAGGTCACGTCTACCTGCATAAGGCCAACACCCGGAGCTGGCAACGTTTTCTTAAAGAGCTCAAGAGCATCGTCATCGTTCAATCCGCCAACGTGCCCCCTGGCACATTGAGGTGGGGAAGAATGCCAAGTGCTGCCCGGTAAGGTTTCTGTTATCATCTTAAGGGCCCCGCCATCCTCCCCGCGTCCATCTGCATGCACCGCCCCCTCTTCCCGAGGCACCGGCGCTTCCCTGGCGCTCTCCAAGGACTCCAAGATGCCCCAAAGATAAATTCCAAGACGGTCAAGGCAGGTCACCAAGGCCGCCAAGATGTCACAGGGCGCGTCCAAGACGGCCCGAGATGGCCCCCAAGACAGCCCAAGATGGCCTCAGGACCGCCTAAGAGGTTTTCAAGACGGTCCCAGAGGGCTCCAAGAGAACCGCCAGCAAGGCCCGAGAACGGCCATAACCATTGATTGTCCTTAGATTCTGGATGAATTCTCGCATCGTCACCGTTTCGTGATTACATGAGCGCAAGACGGGCCAAGAAGCCACCAACTCGGCCCAAAGACGGCCCAAGAGAGCCTCAATATTGCCCGAGAGGCCACCAAGACAGCATCAATATTGGCCAAGGGAACTCCAAGAGGGCGCTACGAGGGCCCTAAAGAACCTGAGAGGACCCCAAGTCGGCACATAGAAGCCCACAAGACGGAATCCGAAGGAGCCAGACGGCCCACCAGCGCCCTCAGACGGCCCAAGCAGCCCCCAAGAGCCTCCGATGTGCCCCCAAGGCGCCCCCCTGGAGGCCCAAAGAGGCCGCCGAGGGGCCCCACAGACCCCGCAGGAGGCGCCCGACAAGCCCTCGGAGCCCTCGTTCACTCCCTCCTCCTCACCCTCCTCCTCCTCCTCCTCGCCCTCCTCCCTCCTCCTCGCCCTCCCTCCTCCTCTTCTTATCATTCTCCCTCAGCATCAACATCAACATCATCATCATCATCATCATCATCATCATCATCATCATCACCAGCATCATCATCAGCATCATCATCATCATCATCATCATCATCATCATTTTCATCATCATCATCATCATCATCAGCATCATCATCATCATCGTCATCATCATCATCATCATTATCATCATGATCATGATCATCATCACCATCATCATCATCATCATCATCACCATCATAATCATCATGGTCATCACCATCATCAGTATCATCATCATCATCAGCATCACGATGATCATCACCATCATCATCGTCGTCACCATCAGTATCATCATCATCATCATCACCAACATCAGCATCATCATCAGCAGCAGCATCCTCGTCAGCAGCATCATCATTATCAGCGGCAGCATCATCATCATCAGCAGCATCATCAGCATCATCATCACCACCCCCGTCAGCATCACCACCACCACCACCACCATCATCATCATCATCATCAAACTCAGCATCATCATCCTCATCAGCATCAACATCAACATCATCATCATTTCTTCCTCATCATCATTATCATCAATACCGTCATGAGAAACATCAACACAATCAGCATCGTCATCATCATCCGCATCGTCATCAGCATACTGAGCATCAGCATAATCAACAGCATCATCATCATAATCATCAACATCATCATGTTCATCATCATCATCATCATCATCATCATCATCATCGTCATCGTCATCGTCATCGTCATCATCATCAGCATCATCATCATCGTCATCACCACCAACGTTATCGTCATCGTGATCATCGTTGTCGTGATCGGCATCGGCGTCATCCCCATGGTCGTCATCCCCGTCGCCGACCCGACACGGAGATATGTTACGGCTGCGCCAAGCCTCGGGGAACGAAGCATCACACGCCACGGCCTCCCCCCAGAGAACGCTGGGCTGGCACCCGTGACGGGAACCGCCGAAGGCCGCCGGATATCTTTATGGTCTCCGCGAGGGCCAGGAGCTCGGCCGCGCGGGTCTTCTTGCGCTCCTCCCACTCCGCAGCCTTCGTGTCGCATCCTTTCTCCAGCTCCGTCAGGAAAGTCTTGTCCTCTGCGAGGCTGTCGGACGTGTCACCCATGTCGTCCTTGATCTGCACGATGGCAACGCCGAGGTCGCCGATCTTCGTCGTCTTGGCCTCGATCGCCTCCGTCAGGGAATTCACCTCCGCCTTCTTGGCTTTCATGAGCTCGCCGTACGCGAAGACCGCCTTCTCCTCAGCGATCATGCTCTCTGCCAGGCTGGTGGCCATGCTGTCCCCAAGCTGCTTCAGCAAACCAACGATCTGCCCGCTCTGCGGGGCGTAGCCCTGCGAGAACGGGTTGCCGGACAAGAAGGACAACAGCGTCTGCCTGTCCTCCTCGAGCATGTCCTGCGTAGCCTGTGAGCGCAGGATTCTCTTCAGGACGTTGACCGACTGAGTCTGCAGGAAGGAGCCCGCCATTCCTAGAGGAACAGAACACGACAAAAACATAAACCTTCGAACTCCGCACGGATTTTCTATCGGCACTGGACCCTACTCCCTGGCGCGCCGAGCGCGCCAAGGGCGGCGCCGGAGGCGCCACCACGGGGGCCCAGCGACGATCCGAGAAACCCGTGCGGTGCTCCAAAAGTGTATGTTGATGTCGATGTTCTTCCTCAAAGTCCTTTCTGTAGAGCCGTGGTGGCCTTCACGATCGCGTTGATGTTGGCGACGTACTCGTCCTTGGCGGCGACGAAGGCGGCGTTTTCCTTCTTGCGGATCCCCGTCGCCTCCGCGATCGCAGCCTTGGGGGATGCGTGATGATGTACACTACAACTTCATGTGAGCGCACACGTGGATATATCTTCCGATGCATTTGTCCTTCTCCTTGCTTCCTCTACCTCCTCCAGCATCCTCCTCCGGCAGCAACTGCTCCCTGAACGGACGAGTTCTCGATTGTGGCGGGCACTGTCATGCTGGACGGGGTGCGAAGAACAGGTCTGGCAGTTTTGGTCATGCTTCCTTATGTTATCACTCCTGGCAGCCTTTGTGCTGCAACACTCCCCGTATGCGCAAACGTGTTTGCCTGCGTGTGTATATGTATATACTTTTATATGTACATCCGCCACCGTGGCCCCCTGGCACGCCGATGCGTGGAAGAATGCCAAGGTATGCCTGGTTTTTTCAAAACAATCTAGAGAAGGCCGCTTTCCGAGGTCATTTCCCTCGGGCCCGCTCGAAGATGGTGCCCTTCCAGCGTGGCAGCGAATGCCTGAACCCCCACTCCACGGGTGCCCGCTCGAGGATGGGGCACTTCCCGCATGGCAGCGAATGCCTGAAACCTCATCACATGCGGCCCCGCTCGAGGATTGTGCACTTCCCGCATGGCATGGCTCCTAACTCCTAGACCCCTTATCCCACGCGCACCCGCTCGACGGCCGTGTGCTTCTCGCATTCCCAGGCGATGCTAGGGCCTCCAAAGACACGATCCGTTGTTAAAAACAATGGGTTTGCGTCCCGAGCTTCCAAGGCGGCCCGTGCAGGCAACCAAGGACACCAAGATTGCCCAAAATGCCTCGACGACGGCCCAGAATGCCCCAAGAAGGCCCCAAATGGCCACAAGAGAACCTCAAATTGGCTCAGAAAAAACCAACATCATTGATGTCCCATGGGCTTTTGAATGATTCTAGCACTCTCGCCTTTTCGAGCTGTCGTCAGGCCCAAGGGGCATCCAAGATGGCCCCAAGACGGCCCAAAAGACTGCCTGAGAAGGCCCTTCAACGGCCCACGACGGCCAAAAGACACTCACCATACGGTCAACAGAGCTCCGCAACGGCCCAAGAGAGCTCGAAGACGGCGTCAGAGGGCCTCAAGACTGCCCAGGAGGGCCCCAAGGGACTCCCAAGACTGCCTTACAGGAGGTCAAGACAGCCCAAGGACAGCCCAAACGAGTTTCAGCATAATTTTTTTCCACCCTCGGAACCTCTAGGGTTCTCTTTCCTCGAATGGCAGCGCGTGTGAACGGAACTGCGCAGGAGAGGCTTCGTGACAATTTCGTGCCGGCGGAGGCGTCGCAGGCGATGTTCCGCCACTGCTTAGGAGAACGCTCTCCCAACAAAACGTGGCTCTAAATCCGCCGCCAGGGGCGCAGAGTGAAAGACCATATAAACACTACCCCGATTAATATCCTGCAGGGTGGGGCGGTCCCCACGCGAGTCGCCCAGGCAAGCCAGCGAACCAGTGGCACCAACTAAACAAGAGTTTCAGCATCATCATCATCAGCATCATCATCAGCATCATCACCATCATCATCATCACCATCATCATCAAAACAGCATCGTCATCATCATCATCATCACCACCATCATCACCAGCAGCAGCATCATCAGTACCAGCATCATTATCAGCATCATCGCCATCATCAGCAGCATCCTCAATAGCGTCAGCATCAGCATCAGCATCAGCATCATACTCATCATCGGCAGCATCAGCATCAGCAACATATTAATCATACTCATCACCATCATCAGCAGCAGCATCATTATCATCATCAGCATCAGCATCACCATCATCAGCATCATCATCCTCATTCTCATCAGCTTAATCATCATTAGAATCACTATTAACATCAGCATCATCAGTATTGTCACCATCAGCGTCATCGACATCAGCATCAACATCATCATCAGCATCATCAGTATCATCGTCATCAACATTATCATAGTAATCATCATCAGCAGCATCATCACCATCATCCGAATCATCCAACTCACCATCATCATCATCATCAGCAGCATCATCAGTATCATAATCAGCATCATCATCATCAGCGTCATCGTGCGCACCATCATCATCAGCATCATCAACATCATCAGCAGCATCATCGTCATCATCATCGGCAGCATCATCATCATCCTCCTCTATATCATGATCAGCAGCAGCCAGATCAGCATCATCAGCATCACCATCAGCATCACCACAACCAGCATCACCATCATCATCAGCATGGTCGTAAGCATCGTTGCCCTCGCCGTCGGCAGCATCATCGTCGGCGCCATCGTCATCGTCGTCATCATCCTGATCGTCATCATCATGATCAGCTTCAGCATCAGCATCATCATAACCATCAACAGCGTCAGCAGCAGCACGATCATCGTCATGATCACAACCACCACCATCATCGTCAGCATCAACATCATCATCATCATCATCATCAACAGTACCATCATCATCATCATCATCATCATCATCATCATCATCATCATCATCATCATCATTACCGTCGTCATCATCATCACCAGCATCAACAGGAGCATTAGCATCGGCACCATCAATATCAGCAGTATAAGCTTCAGCCTCATCATCAGCATCATCAGCGTTATCATCATCATTATCATCCTCAACATCATCATCAGCATCATCATCGTCACCATCACCATCACCATTATCAGTATCACCAGAAACAACATACTAGCAATCAGTATCGCCATTACCATCATCATCAGCAGCAACACCATCATCATCGGCATCGTCATCATCATCGTCCTCATCATCATAATCACCACCACTACAACCAGCATCATCCTCCGCATCACCATTGTCATTATCAGCATCAGCATCATCATCATCAACACCACCACCACCATCCTCATCGTCGTCATCACCCCCATCCTCACAATCCTTATCATCCTCATCATCCTTACCACACGGCTCTCCCAAGATTGAAAACACGAGGTGTCACACGTGACGGCTTCCAGTGCCTCCTCGAACAGACGCTACCGAGAATGCAGGGCTGGCACGGTGGCGGGACGTGCCGCAGGCAGCTGGATAAATATCGGTGCATTACATACCTGAGACTATCTGAATATGAAATGCATGTGTGAACGTCCTATGCATATGTCCCCCCCATGCTCCGTCTACCCCTTTCTGTGGTCTTCTCTGGTGCAAGCTGAATTAATCATACATCCTTCTGCATACCCGCCTCCTGCATCCTTCCTTCCCGTGTACAAGGCGAAGGCAGGACGAGAATACATGCAGATGCGGATGCGTCCGGGATCTCTGAGAGCTGGCAGGTTTGGAGGATGCATTGGGCACCGCTGCCGTGTTCGAGTGCTCCAGCACGCTCTGAACGCTCTGGAGCAGTGTCTCCTCATCCTGGGCCTGCCTGACTGTGTGTCACCCTTCTTCCTCACGCGCGTCCTCCTCCGACCGCAGCCTTGGCGGCAGAGCGGTCCTCCTGGTCCTGCTTCAGGCCCTCCTTCGTTTCCGCGAGCGTGGCCTCGGAGTCCTTCAGCTCGCTGGCGAGCTGGGGGAGCTTCGTCTCCGCGTCGCTGATGCTCTTGGAGAGGTCGCCAGACCCAGTCTTGCAGTCCGACACCGTGCCCCCTGGCACGTTGAGGCGTGGTAAACTGCCAAGTGCTGCCAAGACGTGGGCCCCCCCTCTCTCTCTATACTCGAGCACCCTTTCGTGCACCGCCCCTCCCTCCCGAAGCCTCCTGGGCGACCCGACACCTCCCTGGCGCGCTCCACAACCACTGGGGTGCCCAAGAGGACGGCTTCCGAGACGGCCAAGGCAGGCCACCAAGGCTTGACTGCCCTTAGGTTCTGAATGGATTTTCGCATCATCACAGAAGGCCCACCAGAGCCTCAAGATTGCCCGAGAGGCCACCAAGACGGCCGCAACATGGGCCAAGGCGGCTCCAAGAGGGCCAAGCGGGATCCCGGACAGCCCTAAAAAAACCTCAGAGGGCACCAAGTCGGCACAGAGAGGCGCCCAAGACGGACTCCGAAAGCGCCAGGCAGATCAAGAGCACCCTCAGACTGTCCAAGGAGCCTCCAGTGCACCCCAAAGACGCACCTCAAAATATCCCAAGAGCCAGGCCCCCAAGAGGCACCCAGCAAGCCCCCTGTCACGTGTGACGACCTCCGTTTTCCTCATCCGTTTCCGCTTCCTCCTCCTCCTCCTCCTTTTCTTCCTCCTCCTCCTTCTCCTCCCCCCTACCCCTGCTGCTCCTACTCCCCCCCCTGCTCCTGCTGCTGCTGCTGCTGATGATGCTGCTCCTCCTCCTCCTCCTCCTCCTCCTCCTCCTCCTCCTCTCCATCCTCCTTCTATCAGCATCGTAGGCAAACCGCAGCATAAACAGCAGCAGCATCAGCAACACTAGCATCATCAGCAGCACAAACGTCAACATCCTCATCGTCCTCATCGTCATCGTCATTCAAATTGCCATCATCACCATCATCATAATCATCAACATCATCATCCCCATCAGCATAATCAGCATCAGCATCACCAGAATCATCATCATACACCATCATCATCATACTAATCATCAACATCATCAACAACATAATACTAATCATCATAATATATCATCCTCCTCCTCCTCCTCATCATCATCATCATCATCATTATCATCGTCATCGTCATCATCATAATCAGCACCAGCAGCATGATCATCACCATCATCATCATCACCATCATCAGTAGCAGCCTCACCATCATCAGCATCACAGCATCAGCATCAGCAGCATCATCATCGCCGTCATCATCATCAGCATCATCATTGTCATCGTCATCATCATCAGCGTCAGCATCATAATCATCATCAGCATCATCGGCATCGCCATCATCAGCATCATCATCAGCATCATCATTACTACTACCAGCGTCATCAGCAACATCATGACGACCACCATCCCCATCATCATTTTCACCGCCACCTATCATCATGATCACCAACATCATCATCCTCATCAACATAATCATTCGAATCCCGTCATTATCATCATATCATGCATCCCCTTCGTCCGGCTAAACAATCCTCCTCTATCCATGCTGTTCCTCCTCAACATCATCACCAGCATCGTCATCATGGCAATCCTCACTGTCAGCATGGTCATCACAGTCATCACATCATTGTTGTCATTGTTGTCGTCGTGATCATCATCATCATCATCATCATCATCATCATCATCATCATCATCATCATCATCATCATCATCATCATCATCATCATCATCATCATCATCATCATCTTCGTCATCATCATCATCATTATCATCGTCATCGTCATCATAATCATCATCATCATCACTATCACTTTCGCCATACTCATCATCAGCAGCAGACATTATCATTATCATCAACATCAACATCATCATCATCATCAGCAGCAGCATCATCATCACCATCATCATCACAGACATCATCATCATCATCATCATCAACAACATCATCATCATCAACATCATCATCACCGTCACCAGCACGACGTGGAAGAGTGCATCACATGCTACGGCTCTCCCAAGTCTCCGCACACGGGGCATCACAAGTTACGGCCTCTTGTACCCCCTCCAACAATCGAAACCGAGAATGCTGATCAGGCACGGTGGCGTGACTCGTCGCAGGCACCTGGATAGCACATGAACTTCGAGAACAATTCGGACTCGGTCTCTCCTCTCGGGTCGGACGAAGGGTGGGGGTGATAAAGAGTGGTAGCGAATCAGCTTACGCAACTGACTTCTCCGGCGCCTCCTCCCGGCCTCCATGCGGCCCAGAGGCGCCAATGTATCGAGGAATGCGCATCGCGGCGGGGCCGAAGCCTGCTGCACGCAGCAGATTTCGTACCCCCCCCCTCGTTCCCTTATCCCCCCCCTTTCGTCCGACCCGATCCTTCTTGAGTCACCTTCTTCTGCATAGCCTGGAGCATCTGGACGACCTTTCTCGACACATCCGCTCGGATCGGAACGTGCATCGGATCAGGCCGCATCGGCACGGAGTCGGAATCGAACCGGACTAGCTGCGACAGCATGCACCACAGCGCCATGCAACTGTCGGGCCGCATCACATCGCCACAATTAGAGGAACAACAACGGTATAAGCATGAACTTTTGGAGGTCCGCACGGATTTCTTGGATCCGCGTTGGACCCCCTCCCTGGCGCGCGGAGCGCGCCAGGGGGCGGCGCCGGAGGCGCCGCCAAGGGCGGCCCCAACGCCGATCCACAAAACCCGCTCGGAACTCCGAATTGTCATGCTTATGCCGGTTTTTCCTTCTTCGAGATATCGAAACGGATCGATCGGATCGACATGGACCCTCACCTTGCGGACCGGGTTGGCGCGGGTCGCCGCGGCGCCCCGCTCACCCGCGGCGGCGGCGAGGACCAGTACGAGCAGACCGGCGCGCATGGTTGAGAAGGCTGCGGTGGCTACAGTGGGGCACCACGGTGCGGTCGGATGGCACGGGAGCGCTTCGTTCGAGATTGCCTTGGGCCACAACGGCCGCTGAATGGCAGGGGGTTCTATGGCAACTCATGGGAGCATCCCTTGCC